ATACAAACAAGTAAATGTGGGTTTGATGTCCTCGAGCAATGCGTCCCCGAAATAGGGCTTTAAGTTTCCTTTTAACCATGGCTTCTACAAATTTGTTTTCGAGCTCGCTGTTGTCGGCGTCCTTATTCTTAAGATCTTAATTTAATGAGGTCTCCGCCCCTTATATTCGAATTCCGTGCGCCTGTGGTTTTAAGCAAGCAGTTATTCTAATTTGAAGATATTTATTTGCAAATAGCTATTTCAGAACTAGTTTTAATAGAATTACAAAAAAAGTGATAAGATTGATAAGATTAAAAAATAGTACTGGTTTTATAAATCGAAGAGTCGGAAGCTCCCTACCATAACAAGGAATATTTTAATTACACGAAAGAAAATTTACCTCGAAACTGCACCATAACAGGCGACTATGAATACTATACCAAGCAAAATATTCGCGTTCATAACTGACACCGAAATTGCTCACTGTCTGTATGTGGCCTTTGTTGTCTCAGGACTTGAAGCCTGCTGTTTCTTGGCAGTCAGTGAACCTATTTTTCAGGCAAAGAAATTTCATAGGTCAAATACAAACTGTATGTCTATATATAGTGAACTATCGGCCCACTTTGTAAATCACAGCTTTATATTTAAGTTTAGCTCCTAGGTGGCAATTATTGAGATTGGACTGGTGGCGACATCAAGTTAAATTGGCAGGGGGGCTTATTATTCGTGTGTAGCGAAGTGGAAAATAGCAAGGCAAAGAGCGCCACCTTGTTAGCCTTTTGTCTCTGTTTCAAGACGAGTCTACGTGCACCAATCAAATGATAATACGTTTCACTCGATCCCATGCCCATTTTCATGTAAATCAAACTCATTTTCATTTGAATGGTTTGTACTTGGACTCGTTTTTAAACGGAGGCAAAAGGCAACTCGGAAATAGCCTATTACGCATGGCGTCATTTGTGAATGTCTACGACCAAGGGTGGTGTGACAGGGAGTGAAAAGTTTTTTTGTGAAAAGACTCGTCTTACTTTGTGAATTTTTAACCATAAACCATTTACTTCTCTTATGTCTATTTAAACGAAAAGAAATACAGATGATTGAAAAAGAAAAAAGAGCAATTGAAACAACTGTTCTACAAGCCCTTTAAATGACTCAAATTGAAATTAAAATTGCTACCTGTCAGCTTCGATCGATTCAAACCAAGCGATGAAGCGTGGAAAAATTAACGCGAAGAATTTATGGAAACAAGACATTACAAAAAATGTACATATTTTTGTTTTAAACTTTGATTGCATCACGCGCAACATAGCCCAAATTCAATTTTTCCGAGTATGCTGTCATACGCTATTTTTTGTGTTTGGCAGAATCCGAATGTTAAGGCCCTGGGAAATTTTAGAAATGCGTCTCACTAGCTTTCCGTAAGTTATACGTTATCAAGAAATTTTAGACTTCAGCTGCCAAAAAGTTCAGTCATATCTACAACCGCATCGAATGAATCAACCTACTTACGGCAAAATAAACTTAGGTAGATTTAGTTATAACTGGAAAAATGATTCACGAAAGTTACAATTTACAAAACACACACATTAATGAAAATACTTTATATATCAATTCCTGTAAGTCAATAAGCGGGCCCACTCACCTTCGATCGGAACTATGATTTGACCAGAAGCTGTTTACACCCGGAGAGGTGGAATAACAACTGTGGTAAGTAAATGGTAGCGTTGGTTTTTATGACTGTTACTGACTGCACATTAACTGACTGTATTGTTTGGCCAAGGTGACACTTCAATAAACTATTGTGTTTCGTTTTCTTTCATTTGCTTTTTTTTTCTCTTTATGTAGCGTAGAATAATAGGTATGAATTAAGTAGACGGCTGGGTTGATAGAAGAGTCACGCACATTTTTTTTTTCGAGCCTTTTTCATATGAACAGACGTAATCTACATGTGAAATACTGCCAAATACAGAAGAAAAATCGCCAAACTCATTTCTGTAACTTGCATTTCACCCGAAACATTTTTCCGATTTATTTTTGGACTTGCAAGGACACTTTGACATTTGAAAGCACCCAAGACAGCGCTTTGTCGAAGAGTAGCGAAGTGGAAATTTTTCAGACAAAGACCTGAACTAAAAATGTACTTCCTACGACTGGCGTTATTTCTTTCATCTAAGAAAGTTAATTATCAACTGTGTGACTGCCTCATAGTTTAACCCAGCAATTACACCATGAAGGAAGGTGGATTCCATTTTTTTCTTTTCTTTTTTTTCAAATGTTTCATTCCAAATTTTTCATTGAGTGCCGCCAGACTTGCTGTGCAGCGAAGTGAAAATATAACATTATTAAGATCCGACATGCCATTAAATTAGCATCGGTTCTTATGAATATTACGGATTTAAAACAGCCATTAACTAACGGTATTAGTTGCCTATGGCGACACTTCAATAAACTATTTTCATCAGACATTAATTTTCATCAAGATCCGACATGCCATGAAATAAATGAAAAAGTACATCGCAGCCTTGTTATGATGTATCACGGATGGAAGATCATACAACGACGCGACGCCCACAGCTTATAATTAAAAATATCTATTTGAAATTCTTGGATCGACCTAAGCAACAAGTTTATTAACTACGTGACTACCCCTTAGTTTAGCCCCAATAAGTATACCATGAAGGAAGGTGATACCAGTTTTTTGTTTTCAAATGTATCATTCCAGATTTTTCATTGCGCGCTACCAGACTTGTTGTGCAGCAAAAATGAAAATATAAAAGAATAGTTTGTTTTGTTTTGTTTTTATTTTTCATTTGCTTTTTTTTCTCTTTGTGTAGCGTAGGTATGAATTAAGTAGACGCCTGGTTTGATATGAGAGTCACGTACATTTATATTCCAGCCTTATTCATATAGCAGACGTTATCCACATGTCAAATACTGCCAAATACAGAAGGAAAATCGCCAAACTCATTTCTGTAAATTGCATTTAACCCGTAACATTTTTTCCGATTTATTTTTGGACTTGCAAGGACACTTTGACATTTGAAAGCACCCAAGACAGCGCTTTGTCAAAGAGTAGCGAAGTGGAAATTTTTCAGACAAAGAATTGAACTAAAATTTGTACTTCCTGCGACTGGCGTTATTTCTTTCAACTAAGAAAGTTAATTATCAACTGTGTGACTGCCTCTTAGTTTAACCCCAGTAACTATACCATGAAGGAAGCAGGATACCCTTTTTTCTTTTTTGTTTTCAAATGTATCATTCCAGATTTTTCATTGGGTGCCGCCAGACTTGCTGTGCAGGGACATGAAAATATAAAAGAATAGTTTGTTTTGTTTTGTTATGTTTTTTTCATTTGCTTCTCTTTTTTTTCTTTACGTAGCGTAGAATAATAGGTATGAATTAAGTAGACGCCTGGGTTGATATGAGAGTCACCTACATCTGTATTCCAGCCTTATTCATATAACAGACGTAATCTACATGTCAAATTCTGCCAAATACAGAAGAAAAATCTCCAAACTCATTTCTGTAAATTGCATTTCACCCGTAACATTTTTTCCGATTAATTTTTGGACTTGCAAGGACACTTTGACATTTGAAAGCACCCAAGACAGCGCTTTGTCAAAGAGTAGCGAAGTAGAAATTTTTCAGACAAAGAATTGAACTAAAATTTGTACTTCCTGCGACTGGCGTTATCTCTTTCATCTAAGAAAGTTAATTATCAACTGTGTGACTGCCTCTTAGTTTAACCCCAGTAAATATACCATGAAGGAAGGTGGATACCATTTTTTTCTTTTTTTTTTTCAAATGTTTTATTTCAGATTTTTCAATGGATGCCGCCAGACTTCTTGTGCTGCGAAGTGAAAATATAAAATCCTTAAGATCCGACATGCCATGAAATAAGCGTTGGTTTTTATGTTGTAGCGTGGAACAATAGGCATGAATTAAGTAGACGCATGGGTTGATCAAGACTCACGCACATTTGTTTTCCAGCCTTTTTCGTATGAACAGACGTAATCTACATGTCAGATACTGCCAAATACAGAAGAAAAATCGCTAAACTCATTTCCGTAAATTGCATTTCATCCAAAACATTTTCGATTAATTTTT